TATAACTCGACCTGGCCCCTATATCGCAGTCTCTTTATACAAATGTGCCTTGATCTTGCCCACACACGGGATCAACTAAGTCCTAAAGGAGAACAACACATCATCCACTCCAAGGGACAACTTTGCAAGGAGGGTTTTTCAACAAATTGGGCTTTTAGAGCACCACAACTATCTCAATCTACACAATGGGATGAACAACTTTAAAAATATCTCATCTAGTCTTAGTGATCAACAACTCATCATCACAGTATAACAACATAGTTATAATCTCATCAGCTCAACTATCAACTCATTTCAACTTTAAACAACATAATCAACTCAACAGCTAAATAGCTCAATAGCTCAACTCACAACTTACAACTCAAACATCACAAAGTAACATGTTTTCAACACATAGTACAACATACAACTTTATAACAACATACAACTCTCATCTAACAACTTAGCAACACAATTTACTAATAACTTTTGCATCATCGCAACACATTTACACACTTCACATCATGCTTCTCACAACTCACAACATTATCATCATGCACTTCAAAACTCTTAACTAGATCATCTCATCATATTTCACTACATATAAATAGTCAACACACAACATAAAACAATTTTAACAACTTAATTTCAACATGCTTTAACAATATCATCTTTTCAACATATAATTGATCAACACAATACTCGTAAATAATTTAAACAACATATAACATATTCAACACATAATACAACTCACCCATCATGTTTACAACTCACCTATCATGCCAACTTACACAACATAAACAACATGAATTAACTTAAGCACCCAAAACAACTTTCAACCTAACTAAATCACTTATTGTGAAATGGCAACCTTCATCTAAAACAACATATATGCAATTATATTACTCCTATCATGCTCATCCTTATCTCATATGAAAGATAAGAAGATTTCCTACAACTCTCATGAAGACGTAAAGTCCTAATTCCATAATTTACCTTGTTAAAAATTTTAAAAACCGCAACAATTAGCCTAAATCGTGACAACTTGACATTTGCTCACTAAAAAAGTCATAACTGGAGTTTTAGACCTCCTTTTTAGGTGATTTTAGTGCCATTAGAAAGCTAACATCCAAGACTACAACTTTCATGAAGATCTCAAGACCACGTTCGGTCATCTACCCTCACCGCTGCAATGCTCAAATTAGAACTTTAGCGCTATATTTCTGTCAGCCCAGTCTCATTCCCACGGTTGCGGCCATGAACTACAACCATAGCTATGGATCTCTGCCATTTCATTTTTACCCATGGCTGCAGCCATGAACCATGGCCATGGCTACAAATTTCTGCCATTTCATTTTTATCCCATGGCTACGGATACAAAATTATCTGCATTTCTATGGATTTCACCTTCAATCTTTACTTTCCCTTCACCAAAAATTTTCATCAAAACATCAACAATCAAGAGAACCTAGCACAACTAAGTGCAAACACACAACACTACCAACAATACGCAACACGAAAATCATCTTAAAAGCAACATGCAACAAAAACTCAACTTAGAGCAACTCATACTTCCCCACACTCAAAAACCCACAACTTCAACTTCACCCCTTTCATTCATCAACATGCAACCAACAACACTCTCCGCATTCAGCAATTCTACTCAAGATTTAAACTATCTAACTTCCCTTACCTCTTATCAAATTGAAAATCCGAGCTCTGAGCTAAAGAGAAAAAAGAAGGAGAATGAAGAACGAAAATGACAACTCCAAGCATCGAGGAAGAAGAAAAATGAGGAAGAATGACAACGAAGGCCAATTAGGGCTTCAAGCTTCCTTGTACTCCTCTACCCAGCACCTTCAGACAATCCACAGGGAAAATGGTTCAGCACAAAGATTTCAACAATGAAAGGGTGAATGAAAAAAGAAGAAAGTGAGAATAGAGAAACAACAAGAGTAAAACGGTGCGGGTCTCACAATATCTACTAATTTCATTAACAACTAATTTCTAAAAAGAAATTTGACTATCCATCTTTAATAGAATTTCTCTCACAATCACTTTTTTTTCTACACAAGAGTCGAACTTCATATCTTAAGAAGATCAAATTTTACATGGCTCGAAACCACAACTCGTTGGCATAAAAAAATTATTTTGAAATGAAACGAGATAAATATTTAATTTTAACTATATGTCGATAATTACGCAACGTACTTGCGTATATAGTTTATATTTCATTGATAATTGTCCATCGACATGGTCATGTTTCGAGCTCTTCATCACCAACAAAACAGCAACAAACAAGGTACTCTAAAGTACCTTCCTTTTTCAAGTAAATTATTATTTTTACTCAAAATCCAAATACATGGCAGAGCCATAGAGCATGCAAATCAATAGAAATATGGCACGGATTTCATTCGGCGTCTTATTTTCGGGGTTATGGAAAGGGCCACAAAATTTGCTTCGGCCTTCGGGTGAATATGAATCCAGTTAACGAAAATATTGCGGAAACAAAAATACCGTCATATAAAATACAAATTAATAATTTAATTTAAATATATATTAATGATGTAAATCAATATTATCATCCAATTGTAAACTGTTATTAGGAGACATCTTGTATTTTGTGTTTACTAATTGATGGCCACACTTCAGCTTTTCCTTCATGCCCAAGTCGATCATGAACCCCTTACGATTTTATTATTGGCAGGACATTAAAACTTTCACAACTTATGAAAGTACCTCACCAACTTGAATCAGAAAGAGTGACAATTCCTCTTCTTATTTTTTACACTTATCATGGCAGTATGCTTCTCTCAAGAAGATAAAATGTTCATTTCTTTGCGAGGTCAATCTTCAATAATCATTGACAATTTCCAAACATACCAAAAACATTGTGAGTGTGTTTGGAAGTAGAATCTCTACAATAAGAAGAATGAGAGAAAAGAAAATACAATCTTAGATTTATTCATATATATTTTTGTCTGGATAAATTTATTCACACACATATATAATATATATATATATATATATATATATATAACATATACATTCAACACACTTATGCTTGATGCGATTTACCTGTGCTTGACATCACTTCCCCACTCCCGACATTAATGAGGCAAGGAATCTCTAGTTCACTTATGCTCGACACTAATCCTCTTGTATTTGACAAAAATGAGATAAAGAGTCTCTATGTAAATTATGTCCGACACTACTAAGCATGCACCTGACCAAGCAAAAAGCCTATGCCTTATATACACTCGACACTACACAACCAACACTTGACATTGTTAAGGTAGAGAGCCATTGACTTAATTATGCTATTTTCTCTTTCACAGATCCAATGATCAATTTGAAATTACAGAATAACTCACTTTTAAGAGTAGATATACACTTTTATGATCTTAATGAACTCTTTTAGAATAATACAAATGAATTTGGCCAAGATATTTTTGTATATGAATTTTTCATCATAGAGTTTGTAAACTTCTTCTGAAAAATTATAGGTATTTATAGACAATTGTTTCTTAGGTTGTGTCTTTTCATGAAGAGTTGTAACTCTTTATAATTTTTCAGAAAATATACTCTGGTAATCGATTACAAGACTTGACAATCGATTACAATGGTTTTAAGTTTAAAAAATTTGAAACATTGTATCTTTTAAATTCAAATTTTTGAAGTTCTCTCTTCTGGTAATCGATTACAAGGTCTGGTAATCGATTACTAGAACACATTTTGTATTCAGAATTTAAACTTTGAAGTTTCTTTGTTCTGGTAATGGATTACAAGGTCTGATAATGGATTACTAGAACATATTTTTGCATTATTTTAAAAATTTTTATGTAAAAAACTTCATATCAATAATTTCTTTCACAAATCTCTTTTAAGAAATGATTTGAACTATTCTTTAAAGTTTTTAAGTCTTTCAAAAACATTTTTACTTACTTTCAAAAGATTTAAAACTTGCTTAAATTTAAAGAGATTAATTTGAGGTTTTTGAAAACTCTTTCTTAAGGTCAAGCATACTTGCAATTCTAAAAGATTTTTTTACATTCTTAGCTAAGTTGACAAAATTTATCTATGTAACACTTGAGATCTTGTTCTTGCATCAACTTGTTTTACCTCAACCTTGATTCTTCTTCAATACTTTATAATCACTTTGGCATCATCAAAACGTTTGTGCATATTTTCTTCCACAGTGTATATATATATAAGGAAAAAAACAAGAAAAATAAAATAAACATTTTCTATAAAATTCTCACTCTCATCAAGATGAAATGTTTGATCATAATCCTATATATTTAACATTTTATTATTTTTCAGTTTTTTTATTTTTTAAAAAAATTATTAATTTTAATTTTCTGAAAATGCATAAGACCTAAATTCAAAATTTGAACACATCAAAATTAGCCTCAAGTTAGTGAGAAAAGAAAATTCATAGTTAGTTGTCAAATTAATTAAATTTGAAATTAAAATTTAAATGTATATTAACATAAAATGAAGAAAAAAAATACTCGATATATGAAATTCAGAAAAGACATGAGGCTCAAAGAAAATAGTTATTACTCTTAAAATACTCTTATTTGATAATAACTCCTAAAAATGTGATTAAAAAAATTAACTTGTAGAAAGCACTTCCGTTCAAAATGATAATTCAGATATTTACATTTGTAATAACTATTTTAAGAGTTTTAGTAGCACGATTTTTTATCAGTTCAGATTTACATTACATTGCACAGAAATTAAACTCTTACATTAATAGTCAATTTACTTTTTTTTAATTATAAAAACTGACACCAGTTAGATTCTTTATCATCAATTCTCACAATCCTGTTTCCTTATGATTAGCTTTCTAATTTGTAACCAATTTTCTCCAAATAATTCAGAGTAAAAAGGTTTATATATTTAGATGACTAAAACTCAACCAAAAAGAAAATGTATCCTTTAAATTTCTTTTGGCTCAACTTGTTTCTGGCCAACGAATCGTTTAAAATTCATCTAAACTGTTTTAATCTTAGACCTTATTGTTATGCTTTCGGCCAGCATCATAAATCGTTTGAAAAAGAAGATAAAATTTGAAACATAAAAGATCCAAAACTGCTATATTGTGTTACAATTGCCCAAGAAGTATGGAGCAAGAACCTGGTACTTAAATTAAGGATTTAAGGAGATAAGTTAGTTATTGGGAATCAACTTCTTTAACAGCAAGAGGTTCATACCACTGAGGACCAAATCCAGCTGCTTTTCTCGCTTCCTCATTAAAGGGTGGTTTTAAAGGTCCTCTAAAATATGTTCTCACTATTGCATGAAACTTTGATATCACTTCATGTTCGTGCTCCTCCTCTGTTCTACTTCCTCTTTCCTCTTGCTCTGAGGCTGGATTCGTAGACCTCCGACATAGATACTTGAACCACTTTACTCCAGCAGCACAGTGAGTAATCTCTTCTGGATAAACTACGCTTTCTAGTAAATCTGCTGTAGTGTTGTCACCGCTGTTGCGGAAACGTAAGATTGTTGTAGGCAGCACATCAAGTCCTCTGGCCTGCCAGGGGTACATTTAGATACAATCAATAGCACAATTTTTATGTCATGTAGAATCATGTAAGTGACAATGCATCAAAATAAATTCATAGACGTTCTGTCTAACTGTTTCTTTCTGGGGTGTATAAAAGTTTATGGATGATATTCTATTAGAAGTCCATAATCGAGAATCAAATCCACGACCTTTTTTTGTCAGGAATGGGATTGTTGGATCCTGCTAGGCTACTAGTTGATCCACAAACAAGAACACTTTGTGAGCACTTAAGCATGAACGTAGTTCATTTCAAGGGTTTTACTAGTAGCAATTTAACTTGTTATAATTTTATCATAAATTGTAGTATTCTTCCCTCATCAAATGATGACAATAGAAAATCTCCAAGAAAATCAGTTACTTGAGAAATGAGAACCAATGAAAAACTAGATATGTAGAATAGTTTAAAGCACTAATTTGAATGTAAATAAGCAATGCAATTCAGGTCATCAAAACTGTGAAAACTATACTTTGGCACAGAAGATAAGTTTCCTGATGCTAATCAAGTTGTTTATCTAATTGAACAATATGGGCATGTTTGGACAAGCTTCCAAAGAAGCACTTTTAGGAGAGAAAAATAGGAAGAAAAATTAAAAAATGTTTCTCCATAAGTTAAAATTAGCTTATGTAAGAGTTAAAAATAAGATTTTGAAGAAGCTAATAGGATAAAGTTTCTACAAATTAGCTTACACACTTGTGATTTTCTCTTCCTATTTTTCTTTCTCTCTGAAAAGTGCTAATGGAGAAGTTTACCCTATATATATTTGCAAGATTTTTTCAACTATAGTAACAGCAAACAAGTTTTGTAAAGAAATAATATACAATGATTACACTCAACTTTGTCTTTCAGACTTCTGAGTTAGTTCCACCACCCCTGAATTTGGAATGCTATATTTTCATCAAAAATTGGTTCATATTCTTTTTCACCGAGTTAGCATAGAAAGTCAATGTCATAAAGAAATAATAATTTATCTTCATTTGATTTTTCCAGTGTTTTTCCTTTGTTTTAATATATAAGAGGAAGGAGTAGACATACACAACCAAAGGATAGAATACCTTCCCATTACATCATTTGGGAAGGGGAGGAAGGGCAATGAAGAAAACGTGAATGATAAATAAAATAAGAAAGGCAAAAACAAAAGAAATAATTCAAGTTTTCCAGTGTTTCGCACCAGCTAAATGGGACAAATTAAAAGCACTCCATGTGGTGCAGTCCCACCAGATCGTACTCTCCCTTCTTTCAAGGTATATGCAATAAAATAATTGCTACATGTTCCTTCGGACAAGCCGATAAGTGGCACCCCAGCACAAAATAGTAATAAAATAATTTTTAACAGTCCAACCAACCATACAGATAACAAAAATAAGTGAATATAAACTGCTTGTAGTTTCAAATTTCCAAGCTTAAAACGAACAAGATAAACCTTCCCCAAAATTGATCCAGAACTTTTCCTGTAAAACATTTAATTCCACTTCAATCAGAAAACTTTGCCCTTCAGTTCTTCACAAGAGAAGCTTTACACCAAAACAAGTAGTAACTACAAGTCGACAAGAGATAGAAGAAACCCACATCTTACTTCAAGAAAGAAAAGAAAACTATTTGGAATATTATGAGTTTTTTTTTTTTTTTTTTAGAAACTATTTTGTAGAACAATTTTCGAAACAAGAAACAAACAGTCCATATGTGGAGTTTTCTTTTGTAAGAAAATAAGAGCTTGTTAAAGGCATAGAAATTCCAAGGATTGCTAAAGCACACCACAACCCCACCCCACCCAAAAGGGGTGGAAGAAAGAACACAGTCCATGAATCCAGCATTAAGAATCAATCCTCTTGCTTCCATCTTGATCTCCACACGTGATACAAGTGTCTAATGAAGTTAATAATTTTAATTCATCGTGAGCATAAAGCAAAACTATAAATAACCAAAAATGAGTATGGCAAAAAAGCTCAAAGACACACCTCATGGACACAATGTTCAACAGCTAACCGTGCTAGTAAATCCTGGGAAGTAGCAGTAGCAGAATCCCAAAGGCCATCATGAGCCGGTAATGCTCCATAATAAGAACCTAGCTCCTCAAGTCGTGCAGCAAGAAGAGTGAAGTGTCGCCCTTCATCCTGTGCCACCTTCACAAAATCTGTAAAGAATTCTCTAGGCATTGACTCTTGCTTGCCAAAACGTGCTATTATATCCTGCATTCATGTATTATACACATAAATATTTACCAATATATGTTTAGTTCAATAAAAAACATATATTGATGTATTTATACACATGAATTGTATGAAAAAACAAAACGTGTTGCAAACAAACAATAAAAACACACTAAAGGAGGCCCCAATAAAGTTTAGTTCAATACTCTAGTAGTGATGAGTGTGATCCTAATACTGAGATCTAGAAGCACAGCTTACTAAAATTTTAGTGGGAACTCGGGGTACCAAAGTTAAATTGTCATTAGACACTTGATTTAGACATGGAGAACAGAATCATGCAGAAACAAGAGTAAAACATGTCATGTCTCTCCCATTAAAGAATATTTATATTGAGCCACACAGCTCAATCACAGAGATAAAGTAAAAGTCTAAGGATATGAAATATTAAATGCCTTTTTTAATTATTATTTTGCAGGAAGACTGTAACAGTACTAAAATGGAAAAGAAATCAGAATAAAGGAGAACTCTTCAACAATGGCGGAAGCTCCTTGAAGACAACTCCAATGGAGGAGAAGCACCATAAGAGGTTCGGTTACCTCTTGAAGAAGTGAAGAAGCTTGAGGAACCAAGCTTCAAGGTGAGGAACTTTTGAGAGAGAACTAAGAGAGAAGTTCTCACGGATTTGGACTCTTGAAAATGAGAGAGAATTCTGAATTCTATATCTCATAAATGTCAAAAGTGATTACTGTGATACCCTGTACCCCAACATACATATATAGTAATTATATAAAATAAATAAAATAAAATACAATTCTTCAACATAAGACAATCAAATCTCCAACAACATAAAGGTAAAGAGTTCACATTCATAAACTTAATCCAAATAACACGTAGAGAAATTACAAGGAAATGAAATTGAGTTTTTTCTTAAAATAATTTAATAAAAACAACATCCCAATCTAATCCTATTTATGCCCCGATGTCACATGTCCTATCAGAGCAAATCCCAACGTAGAAGCCTAAGCTTCATCACCAACATTCTCAGCCTCATGCTGATAATAACCTGTATGACAGTTAGAGAAAACAACACAAGAGAAAAGGGAGTGAGACACGAACCACCTATAGAATCCCAATAGGCCTAAAAATCCACGTAAAACTAAGAGAGAACACGGAACAGACCAATCCACAATAGCTTAGATATTATCTAGATCAGGTTGGATAAGCCTGTTTGAAATGTAGTGTGGGTAGGTGGTGAATTGGATGTGGAAGAGAAAATGTCACTATATAGGGTCATAGATAGAAGGTGAAAAGAAGCAATCGCATCTTGGTGGATAAGTTGACAAACTTGGTCAAAAGATGCTTGAGTGGGAGTGGGGAGTGTGTTGTCAACAATGGTAATAGGAGTGGAATTATGGGTAAAAGTGAAGGATGGAATAGCGAAATTTGCTTGGACTGGCCCAAAGTACATAACCAAATAATGCTCAAAACAATATTTTCCCTTTCAATAGGAAAAAGGTATAAGGGAACTTGAAGTCTATGTTGTTGGAAGGAAATAGGGGACTTTCGAGAAAAATGTTTCACGAACTTAGCATTACTACTTCACTATTTGAAAAAGTATGAGTTTTTTATTGACACTATTCAAACTTTCCTTTAATGTCTATCTTCACAATTCTTAAATCTTTAAATAATAAAAAATAATATTAGAAATTAACCACTCAAATTCTTTACCAAAAAAAACAAATCTTTACAAAAAAAAACCACTCAAATAAATTAGTTGTCTTTAACCATTCAAATTCTTAATCACTTTTATTACTTAACCTCAATTTTATTTAATTTTAAAATTTTTAAATAAAATATAAAGGCACAGAGTGTCTCGACTCCACTAGTGTGTAATTAAAAGGATTCCCTCATTTGGTGTCCACTTTTATCTTTCTCATTTTACGCTTAATAAATATACATAACTATAATCAAGATAAATTTGTCACTCACTCTCTCTCTCTCTCTCTCTCTCTCTTTCTCTCTCTCTCTCTCTCTCTTATTTCCCACTAGTGTGTGTGTATTTCTAGTCCAAAGTAAACATAAATAATTAAAAAAGAAGTATTAAAAGAATGAAAGAGAATAAACAAATCTAGTAATTGAAGGAGATTTTATTTACCTACAAAACCAAGGTAGGAAAGCAAAAGGCTTGGGTGCTTAGACTAGGAAGGCTTAAGGGAGAAGAAAGTTTAAGGCTCTAGGTGAGTTGTGTCTCTTATCTTTAATTTACAAGGCATTTATAAGCAAAGAGTTCACAGACAAATCTTAAAGGTGGATTTCAAAGTTAATGTAATTACAACTAACAAGCATTACTTTTGGCTACCTACCCAAAAGACAAATTACGACTAACAAACCTTACTTTTGGCTTAGTATTCAAACAAAATTCAAAGCATCTTTTGGGCGACTTAAAATTACACCTTCTTATTGAGATGCTTCTTTTAAAAATACAACTGGAGCCAAATGGTTTTCTAGCACAAAAATTACTTAGTATTCTTCATCCTTTTCTACCAACCTTATATTTTCCACGATTTGGTTAATCTTATGAGCGATGACATTTGACTTGTTAATTTTGTGGGTATTGAAAAATTCTAGTCACAATTCATCAAGGCCTAGCTTAGATATTTAGGCCATTTTTATCTAATAGCAGTAGTTAGGAGGGTTGCTATTTATTTCTTCTATTTAATTTTCTTCATCGAAGTCAAAAGAAGAAAAGCTTCCACACAAATTTTCTTTAATTCTTCTTTAAACTAAGTTTCCAAAGAAAATTCAAAAAGGGTCTTCTTTTTTAATATAAGAGTCTTCTAATGAAGGAGTAAGGAGGCTCAAGGTCGACTTATTCTTCCATAATTTAAATTTTCTCTCCAAGAATTTTATATTATATTTCTTCAACCAAAATACTTTAACTTTTAGACAAAGGCTTGGTGGATAGAGAGCCTCCAAATGTTGATGAAATTCATACGAATGCTGAAATAGCCAGCTTACTGTCTCATAGTAAAACATAAATTAAGTAACTTCAATTGAGTAGACATTTTTGGAGTTAATGCCTTGAAATTATCATAGTATTTAACAATTTTAATGGGTAGTATGACTTGAACGAAAACTATGAATAGGAACCAGTCCATAAACCATAAAGGTACCTCAACAGCTAATTCTTTTAAAAACTGATATACCATGAATGTCTGGGGTTCTTTTCAAAAAGGATCTTATATCAGGCTTTTTGTTAATCAAAGTAATTATAAGAGGGGGACTTAAAGGGTCTTGAAAAACCCCTTTCAATAAGAAGGTGTTGGTTATAGTCTATAAATCAGAAAACTTTTATAATCCTCAATTTAGAGCAATTAATTATGGAAGGATCCTTTTTATCCATTTTTAGAGTGATCTCTATAGAACATGTATCAAGTAAAATAAATTGATAATTTTTTTTTATTTTTCTCAAGACTTTGTGATTTTGGAATCCAACTTCAATCCAGAGGGGTAAGCCTTTTCATGATTTCAAAAGCATTTAAATTTTATAATTGATGTTCAAGGGTAATTATGGAGAAAAGATAAATACTAGAAGAGGGGTTGAATAGTGTGTATAAAACATTTGCATATTTTTCATAGTGAATTAGTAACATTAGTTAGATGAAGCACGAAGAACAATTAGATGAAACATTGAGTATTTTTATACTAGTGCATCTTAATTATCGAGACTACATCTAGTTCTCAATCCAACCAGATTAACTCCCACAATCTTTTAAACAAAGATACAAGTATTCTTTCAACAAGCCACTTTTGTCTTAACCTTAAGTATTCTTTGAATTGTCTCTTCAAGTAACTAACCAAGTATTCTTTTAACAACAAGCCTCTCTAGACTTAACAACAAATTATTCTTTTATAGTCAAACCTCTCCAAGCTCAAAACAAGTATTCTTTTACAGATAAGTCTCTCTAGGCTCAACCTTATAACAATGGTTATGAAGGTTACACAAATGTTATGTTCATCTCACTTAGATGTTATACAACCAATACATAGCAATGAATTTTTACTAGAAAGAATAAATTTAGAGAGTATGTTTTTGTACAAAGTATATGTATCGCTTAAAATTGGTGTCTTTGTAATTGATGTCTCTATTTTGTAAAAAATATGTCTCTGCCTTTTTTGTACTTTGAATCTTCTTATATAGTAATTTAAAGAAGATGATTATTGCAACACTGAGTCTAACTCACAAGTTTGTTTCTTCTATCTTCATCATCTTTTCTTGTGATGGCAGTTGATCGTTTCACTCATTTAATGTGAGCATTAAGTACATTTCACCAAATGATACCTCTTATTAGATCAAGGAGACTACTTATCAACTTTTCATACCAAATGGAGCTTGCAGAAGTAATGTCAGTACAGAGCAATTATAACAATAACTTTATCTACTTTTCTTCATGATTTCAGGGATCTTGGTTCTGATGAAAAACATAATTCTTCTTTTTAACATATTTGTGAGTTCTAAGATGGTTTTTCGGTTCGATCTGTTAAAGAATGAAGTATTCAATAGCATGTTGATACTCTCAATAAATAATAAACATTTAATTTATATGATATAGACTGTATGTTTCATATGATTTATCACGTCTTATAGACGATCTGTGTCATACACTTTATCTGATAAGTTTTTCAAATATATTCTTCAAAGACGTTTTTGCATATATTTATTCTTTATAAAAATGTTTTATTTATTAGTATTACAACTTTAAGTTCAAGGGATCTAAATCATCTTTTGAGTTAACGATAATTATTCTCTTAAACAACTTAAACCAGCTCTTGAATCTACCATGGTTGTAAAGGTTTTATGAAACTTATTTCCAATTTTTAAAGATACCTTTATTAACCATTTTTGTTGTAATTTTGTTTTTAATCTAATTTAGCCTTTCTACTTCTTTGTGTAATTTTTTTACTATTTGTTCAAGAGACTCCTTTATTCTTTGTTTTAATATTCACCCAAAGCCTACTTCTAATGCATCGATTTCTACTATCATAAAAGCTTCAAGATAAGGAATTCCTAAACACGGAAGAGTTTTTACTAGTGCTTTAGCTTTGATTACTACTTGGGTTAATTCAAGAGTCCATTAAAAAGGAGTTTACAAATTATTCTAACTTTAGGAATAAAATCAACGAGATAATTAAGACATCCTAAAAATTATTGTAACTTATTTTTATCTTTTATTTCATTTGAAAACTTATTGACAAATTCTATACTTCTTCTTATTGGTATAATAATTCCTTGGTATATTTCAAATCTCTTATTTTAATTTGTTCTATTTTCAATTTATTTTTACAAATAACCATTACATTAGTTTTAATAATATTTTTGAAAATATTTACATGTTTTATATGTTTTTTTATTGAATTAAAGTATATTAAAACATCATTTATATATGTTGGAGTAAAATGAGAACAAGGATTTATTATATTTGTACTATCCGTATCACTAAGCCGAGTTCGAGCTCGGCATCACAGCGCGAGTCGACATCGGTCACGTGCTGCTCGACATCGGCTAAGACAAGACCCACCATCTAAATAGATTATAACCGATCTCAGGCCCAAGGCCTAATAAAACCCTAATTCACACTAAGGTACGTGCATTACTTATACGAGACCCATACATCCACAAACACTAACTTGAGCATCGGAGTCTCTTTTGCAGGTACCACCCCCACTTGGAACAGCAACCGTACCCAGCGAAGGAGGCTCACCGATCTTGCCCAGCAGATCGTCCCTACGACCGATCTCCGGTAAGAACATTTGGCGCCCACCGTGGGGCCGATCAAGACAGCTCTTATCGGCCACGCTTATGGTTTTCACCCGAAGCCATAGTAGACGAGCA